TTTGTATACAACATTTTTTGATATCTTGAATAGTTTTCAAGATATAACGAAAGAAAAAAAGAATTAATTTACATATAAGGGGTAGATTCATCCCTTTAAACCGTTTTTTAGCACCTAATAACCTTTTAGCAACTGATAACTTCTAAATTCATTTATTTATGTGACCTCAAAGTGTACCAAGTTTCATTAAAATCACAATTTGACATTCCGCGAGGTTCCCTTGTCAGTAAAGTTTTAAAGGAAAAAGTAGCTCCTGGGGCAAATAATGACAATTTTTAATTGGATAAATTATGACAATGTCAAAAAGCTTTTTTAGTATTTGAATATGATTTTTCTAATTCATTTGGGATAATATGAGATTAGTTACAAGGCAAGGTCCAAAATAAATGTGATTTTCAATAAGAAATACTAGCAAATAATGTTACTACTATTATTTAATCAATCAATAAATAAAAATTTACATATGACAGAATATAGAAATTAATAGAGGTGTGCGAATCAAGCATTTGCATGGTCGAATCGAATCGAATTTTTATAACATGTTCGAAATCGAATCGAATCGAATCTTTTTAATTCGAATATGAATCGAATCTAAATCAAATTTTCCCAGATTAATATTACATGTTAATTTAAACGTAATAAATATCAAAATTGATGATTTACTGTTTTAGGCAATGATTTAAACAAACTGGAGACCTGTTTTTTATTTACATCTCATTACAAGGGATCATGATCTTATGTGACATTTTAAACTAGAAAATATTAATAATATGTATATACACACGAATAGTTAGAATGCTTTCAAATATTTTATTAATTATATATATTAATCTATATGAATACATTACATATATCAAAAATACTTATTTATTAGATAAGAATAATTGGTCGCGCGGGAGATGCAAATGAACCAAATAAAATAGGCGATCGATTCAAAATCGAATCATTGTTGATTCAAAATTCTCGAACTATTCGATTTCGAATCTTGCAGATTTGAAAACGAATTCGAATCGAATCTACTGTGATTCGATTCGACTCGATTCGAATTTGACTATTCGCACACCTCTAGAAATTAATATAAATTACCTTATCTAATCAAAATGTTAAAAGAAAGATCGATTAGGAGTTAAGAATTATGTATTTTGTAATTGCCCCCATAGGGTGTCACTATTTACCCATAGGGTGGAACAAATAGTAACAAATGTAGGTTTTCAGTTTTTATAAGAATCTAGCACGTATACACTTATGGAAACTCTAATTAAGTTTTTTGTATATTTGACAGTGGAAAGTACACTTTTAAAAATCATATCTTGTAAACTTGAAATTAGCTTGTAGAGGAGAGAGGAAAAAATCCGTCACTATTTGCCACCCCCCCCCCCCTTCCCGTACTGGGTATATAACTCGTTTACGTTTAATAACGTTTACATTTGAACATAGTGTCACATGCAATCCCCTCCGATTTGATTTAAATTTTCTCGTCACGATCGCTATTTTCGATAAAAAGATTCGATGATTATTAATATCTCAATAATCGAACCGAATCTCAAAATGTTATGTAGTTTAAAATAAAATATTGTTAAAATGTTGAGTGAGTTGGAAATTATAGAAGATTGCATTATCTTAATTTGTTTATTGCACGAAAAGTACGAAAGTACTTGACACATAGAAAAGTGAAATAAAAAGCATTCTTTTAACTCGATTTTTAGTGTCCACTGCAGTCACGGAAGAAAGTGACACTCGTAATATCCCGTATTAACAATTAAAAACAATAGAATTAATGCAAAGCCCTGTTTGTTCTTACGACTACAATCTCATTGACAACTGTAAGATCTTACTGTTATACTTCGTTGTCGTTAGCATTCACGCTTCCCCGCATGTCTTTCCGCCGGAGAACGAGCAGAATTTGCATTCCATATATGCATTTGTATTGTAGCCTGCCCACGAAAGTCTGAATAAAGGCGCAAGGATGCGAATTTAAGCACCGCGCGAAGCGAATCCGGAAAATATACGCGTAATTAAAGCACGCCAACGTTCACGCTGTATAAATTCCTTCTGTAACGAACACGGTAACGGTCGTGATAACAAATCGCATCTCGAGCAACAATACTTTTTGTGCTAATGCAATCTACGGAATATTATTGAAATACACGGAAAGAATTTTGCTGGATACAGATCTAAAAATAATTTTGTTGGAAACTCAAAAATAATTCAAGTAATAAGGGGGGAAAGAGCCAAATTCGGCCAAGGTTAGATGTTAGTTACTCAATAATATTTAATGTTAATATTTTTAATCTTTTAAATCTTTTTAAAGAGTAATCCCAAAAAAAGGTGGTTTTATCGCCCGTTGTTTGGGACCCCCTCAATTTTGGGACTCGACTGCGTGCCAAATGGTACGAGTACCTTATAATGAGATATTAATCACAGAGAAGTTTCAAGTTGAGGTGATAATTGTTATCACAGCTGGAAGGGGGTCACTTTCATGTCTCTTTACGCGAAAACTTGATTTTTTTACATCCAAAACGAGCGTTTATGTAAAACTGCGATCAACCTTCATCGGCTGAATCAATCTTCTTAAAATATCGGACCTCGTGATAATTCCATAATAAACTTTGATTTCACCCTCCCCCCCCCCTCCAGCTCTGATAACAATTGTTACCTCAACTTGAAACTTCTCTAATTAATGTCTCATTATAAGGTACCATTTGGCACACAGTTCAGTCTCAAAATCGATGGCCTAAAAAGGAGCGATTTTTTGGGTCACTCTTTCAGCTAACGTAAACTGTGCATCGATTACTACCGGTCTTTAAAAGAACATAATTATAACTTAAAAGCCTAAAACTGAAATATATAATATCATAAATTAAATTGATCTTCGATTCGATGATGATGCTATTGATAAGCTCTGTAAAACGTTTTCATATTCTACCAAGTTTGAATTTTCAATAAAATTATTGTAATGGTCTAAACAAAATTATTTTCAGACCTTCCAACAAAATTATCCTTTCCATGCACCGTATGAGAGAATATCAGCTTATTTATGTTCGCATTGCTTTGAGTATGAACACACA